TAACCTTCGCAACGTCTGATCTAAAAGAGCCCATCGTGTGCTCTTTGAAAATTGAAGATATTTTTATTTCTTTGTCTTTCTTTTTGTCAAATTTTTTGCGATACCAATTTCTTACTTTTTTAATTTACAAGTTAAATAAACCTGTTTTGTTATTTATTCACATCAAAATTTATACGTATAATTAAATACGTTAATTAATCTTTTTTTCTCCCAGACTCCATCGAGCACAGACGACACACAATTCTCGCCAGACACCTCGCAAAGGTTAATACACTTGGAACGAAAATCAATTTCTACACCGTGTACATATGTTACGTCACGCATGTGTATATATATATATATATAATCGTTATCAACTAATCATAGCTATTTTCAAAGCTTCCGCCATTGTGTTCGAGTACGTCCGAGCGTCGTATCTATCTAATGTAAACGTCACGTGTTTAATTACAAAGCGTAGATAGTGGAAGTGCAAAGTCCGCGAGTTCGATCAAACTTCGCAGAAATCAAGGTGGAAACACCGCGCGTTTGAAAGCGTGCAAAAAAGTGTTGCGTGAATTCTCTCTCCCGACGATGCGGCGGCAATTGAGACAAAGCCGTTGTAAAAAAAAAGCCGAAACGATAATTGTTCGAATTACGCGAATTTACGACGCGAGCGCGAAGATAAATAAACCGCGCGTTGGAAATACGTCGCGCGTGAAGATACACCGATCGTAAAATTGTCTATCTGTGAAAATACGACGGACCTTGTGACCTTTGCGCGCGCGCGCGAGTCAATATTGCCGGTGCGTGCGCGTGCGCGCTCGCGAATATTCGGCGCAAATTAAAATTCGCCGAAAAAAAAGAAGAAACAATCGAATTTCAGATGTCGCTTTTTTTTATCTGTCGCGCGCGAGTCACGTCGCGTGAAACATTTAAAGTCTCATTTCCGAAGCTGAAAGTTTAACGACCACACGATATCGCGCACGTTTCCCCCGCGACTTTACACGAGCGTAGCTGTGTGTGTGTTATTCAATCGGTTAAAACGCGATATACGTACCGGAAGCTCGAAAAAAAAAACTTGATGCACATGAAAGAGAATGGCGAAGCGCGAAAAAATCCGAAGAAAGGAGGAAGTTCGCGAGAGTGAAAGGCGGGTCCCGTTTATGTGCGAAGATTACCCGGGGGAAAGGAGGGCGCGATTGACGAGCACGTCACGTTTTGAATTGACGACGTTCCCACTGTGCCGAGAACACAATTAGAGCAACATGAGAAAAAAAAAATTAAATCGATTGCAATGACTCACGAACGCCAGCAAGAAAAAAAACCAGCGAGTCGTTACGCGCTCGTAAGACGGAAATCGAGCGGATAGTTTTATAAATGAGAAAAACGTCTCTGTGTGTGTGTGTGAGTGTGTGCGTGTGCAATGCGATAAATCCGATCAGCTGACACCGCAGCACCGTTTGATATCTGCGAGCGGAAATTCGGGTGAGCAACAGGGTCAAGAAGAAAAACGTCGGAAAAATGCATCATCGTAATGTCGATCTCTCACGCGCGCGCGCGCGCGGTGGAGATTCGCGAAGAAAGGAGGAAGTTGTCCAGAGTGAGTGAAAGGCGGGATCGAGAAAACTTCTCAACGTCGAGGAGATTTATAAACGCGAACTCTGCGACGCACGTGCACACACTCACACGCGCGTAGCCGTATCTCTCTTTCTCGTCGAGCACGTAATACACGTCCGCTGTATCATCTCACGTGTGTGTGTGTGTGTAATGTATATGTACGTCGCTCTTTAATAGGAATCATAATACAGTGTGACCGGAATAAAGCCGGTTCCGGACGATGCGTTAGCTCGCCGAATACTCACCGAGACGAAACCGATGTGACGTAACGTGTGTTCATCGCGCGAACAAAAGCCGATTCATACACACAGGACACACATTTTGCATTCATTCACGGATATTTCACGGATAAACGCTCCGTGCGCCGTATTTTTCAGCGGAAGTGTTTTAACCCTCGGGAGGACGTACCCTTCTCGGAGAACCGTGACTGCGTCACTTCTCGCTGACCCGTTTAATATTCCACGGAATAATATTTATTTTATATTTTTCTGTTTTTAATGTATTTTTCTTATTAGATGTTTCTTGTTTTTTTGTATCAAAGAGCTTTCTCCGTTAATAATAAATAAATAAAAGCTTGCACAAATATAATTGTACTAAATATATATATAATTTTATTTTTTTAATATTTGTTATTATATTTATTATTATTTAAATATATTTATTTATATAAATTATGCGGGGATACAACTTAGATATCCATCGGGTCTCGGGAGGCTGACCACCGATGACAAAAAATTAATACGGCGGGAGGAAGATGATCGAGAACTAATTTATTTGTCCCCGCAATGTGATCGCGCCGAGTGCGAGTAAAAATGTCGCGCTAGACGAGACCAACAACGCCGCGCGCAATTCGCCCCTCGAATGTACGTCACTTGAATTAAATTGAGCTTTCGTTCTTGCGCGAAACAACCTGTTGACTACATAATCGGAGATGCGACGTTACGTACGGGCGTGCGATGTGTATTTGCGCGCTGCATCGCGTTTATAAGGTTCTTGACAAATCTGCTTAACATTCCTTCGACATCTCCCACAAACAGCTGACACATAAATCGACACAATGTTATCTATCTCCGTGCAAACAATGTTAAAACGATTAAAAGAGGTTCTCTGGTGCAATAATTCTGCTCGCGCAAGAATCCGCTCCGCCGCTACTTGCGCGCGCGAGCGCGAGGGGAAGAAAAAAAAACACTCACGCGCAGAATTTCATTCCGACGGAAAATCCGTTCTCCTGGGTCACGTTTGGATTTTCGTCGAGCGTTATTCCATTCAGACGGCGTCTCGAACAAAGTACATGCGCGATATACGTCAAAGTGAAACCGGTAAATCACACCGTTTTTTTTTATTTTTTTATTTTTTTTTTATTATTGTCCCCCCTCTCGCGTTCAAAATTTCTCGCCGCGCGAAGCGAGAAAACGATTTCGCGAGATCGTAAATCGTCATTTACGCTCCAACGTGCGTCGTCGTTTTTTCCCCTCGCGAGGAAGGAACGCGCGAGCGGAAATGAAGCACAATGCAATTTAATCCACGCTGATGCCAAGTTTGCGCTCGGAGAGAGGGAGAGAGAGAGAGAGAGAGACGCGACGACGCGCGTTGTTCGTCACGGTCGTATAAAAGTTTATCCGAGCGATTAGCTGTTGATTTTCCGTAACCCGCAAACAATATCCCGCCCGTTAATTGGCCAATTAGCGGGAAGATAGCGCGTTGTCGACGAAAATTTCTTAGAAAGTGATCTTTGCGTACTTCAAAGTATATACGCAACAGAGAGAGTTTTAACGACACGAGTAAATTTTTCATTTATACAAAAAGACGAGAGAGACATCTCGAGTGACGGATTACATCGGATATTTCCGATTTAACAATAATAATAATTAATCGAACGAACGGACGTATGACGTCTGACGCGCTTGCGCGCACTCACTCGCGACACATCCTCTCTTTTCCTGGCGTTATAATTATTTCATTACCCAGCCATTACCGAGAACGATCGTTAAAGATGCGATAACAAACGAACTGACGTGCACGCGGATTGCGTCGCGTTCCGCCAATTCTCGTTTGCAACTTGCAAATGAGACATATGACAACCTTGACTGACTTTTTCCGCGAAGCAATCAATCCCAAGAATCATCCGCGCATACAACGTGTCACAATCTAGCGTATCTGTAAATTATTTCGTTCTTTTTGCACTTCAAATGTCAATAAATATCGAAAGCAAAAAAAAACACTGTTATTATGTATGAATGAATCACACGCGTTTATTATGTGAGCGAGTTCACGAGTTCATGGGAGTGTTTGTTTTCGAGAAAGATTCTCGCGCAACGTGGCGCACAACGGGAGGCATCATAAGCTAATTTGGATCGCGGAGTGAAAGTAAACCGCGCACACACAAAGCGAACCGCCGGTCTCTCTCTCTCTCTCTCTCTCTATCTATCTAATTATTCCAGAACGAACGAGGAAACGTCGGTTTCGCGCGCAAATGCCGAATTAAAACTGCGCCAACGATGTAATCGATAATCAGTCGCGCAATTCCTTCGTTCGCCGACCGAATAATTGCTCGCTCGAAAATTTATTTTCGCACTGTTTGTCGAACTTGTACGCCAATTGTTTGCATTTCCGCCGTTTGTTTGTAACGAAGATATTTCGACTTTTAAATGTCGCACGATAAGTTTTAGAATAAATGTTAATAATTATTCTAAACAATAATTATTCTAAACAATAAACTGCTAAAGCCAAGCACGCTTTCGACATTTCTCTCGTTCGAAAATCGCTTGCGAAATTATAACGACACTCGAGAGCGTCGAAATTTCGGAAAGCGAAGCGTTATGACGCGCGTTACGTCACGTCTCATATCGAAAACAAGAAAAACAATGCGAATTACTTGGAACGATCGTTCGCCGGTATTCCGGTCTATTTTTGCGTAGGTGCATCGACACGTAGAAGCGCCTCCGACGCGAAAAGTTTCGCTCGAACTCGGCGTGAGACAGACAGAGACGGGAAAAGATTCGGAAAAGGTCGCGCGCGTGCGCAAAGCAACGTTCTAGAAAGAGCGCGAGCCTTTCGACCGGCCGCGCGACGCGAGAATTTCCGATTTTCGAGATCGCTCGCGTGTTGATTTTGTTCCGTTGATTTCTGCGATCGAGTTTTGCGTTTTTTTCTCTCACCACGAGTGATAACGAGCGCGGCTACGCTCGAGACGTGCTCTCACTTGCGCGCAAAAATTCGCGAAAATTCCAATTAAAAACAACAGGTCGCGGAACTCGAGACTCGCTTTCGTTCGGATTTTCGAAGGTTTCCCGTCCCGGACTCGCCGAGTTTGCGGAAAAATACAACACGGGAGGGGGAACCACGGTGTAACATATGGCGAACGAGATTAACGCGCGATGTACATCAAAGCGTTTGATACTTACGACGTATACAAGCTTCCTTCTCCTTGTTGTCGTCGGGACACTAAGGCTCACAGCACGTTTCACTGAATCTTCTCAGAAGTCGGTGTGCGTGCGTGCGTGCGTGCGTGTATGTGTGTGTGTGTCTGTTTACGTACGTAGAGATCCGGTCCTACGAGTAATATCGCTGTGAACGCCCGGCTTAGATCGCACTAGCCGGCTAGGCTTGTGTGTATCTCGCTCCGTACGGGAAAACAGAGAGCGAATATAGTCTATATGTATATATAGAGAGAGATATGCGCGCCGATGGGGGCACTGGTGGTCGAAAATTCGCGCGCGTCACCTCAGGGGGGACCGCGTCTCGTATGCAACAAAAAGAAAAACGAAAAACACCGCGCGCGCGCGAGAGAGATAACTCGTCGCTGCTTTTTCCGCGTCGACGAACGGAGGTTCGCGGACCGATGCAAACAGATCGAAAGAGGAGTCTCGTCGCCCGTCAACTGGCCGACGGGCAGGCCAGACGAAGTCGGAGTAAGGTTTCTGCGCTCGCTAGAGAGCCACGGGAGCCGGCGCGCGCGGGGTTCACCCACCGACTTCCTGTCGCGCGGTGGTCGTCAGTCCTCTCCGCGAATTGCCGACAACTGAGGGGAATTGAACCCGCTTCCCGATGCGCGAAAGCGAAAAGAAAACGAGAAACGTACGTGCGTGCGCTGTCGATCGGAACAAACGAAGTCAGCAGTTTAAACACATGAAACGACACCACAAATCGCCACGGCGAACCAACTGACACTGACAGCGCCGAGTATATCTCGAGCGCGCACGCATCCCCCACCTCCCCCACTACGCGCAGAGTGACGTTTCCCCCCTCCTGACGGGTCGATCCCACCCTGTCGCCGCCGCCGCTGCTGCTGCTGTTGCTGCTCGCGGCGGCGGCAACGACGACGACGGCGACGACGACGACGACGACGACGGCGACGACGACGACGACGACGACGACGACGACGCGGCCGTCGCGGTGTCCTCGTCCCCCGCGTGGCGACGCCGTCACCACACGCGCCCACACACATGATCTCTCGAGCGAGCGCCTCGATCCGATCTCGTATAAATGTAAAGTACAGATACGACGCGGCTGAGAAAAATCATCGGAGAGAAAAACAGCGGAGGCGAGAAAACAGCCGGCCGGCGTGAACGATAAGGGTTCCTCGAAACCCCGACTTCTTAGTCGAGTTTTATTTCGTTTTTCTTACGCGTCTCAACAATAACGCGTGCAAAACCTCGTGCGAGGAGAACCCAGCGATTTTCTTTCGCGCGCGCGCGCAGCGCACTTTCCGCCGCTCCGCTCCGTGGGATCGCGGATGGGAGTCCGAAAGAGAGAGTAGGCTACGGCGTGCAATACTCCAGTATTGCGCGATCGATCGGTGTGCACCGAGACTCCCCACTCCCCTCTCCCCGCGTGAATTTCCGGTGTAGCTGAATTATCGTTCCTCTCTTTTTTTTTTTCTTACGGACGTTTGCGCGAATTGAGATGCGATTGTAAAATTTTTCCTCTCCGAAATTTCGACGGACATAATCACGCGTTGCGCAGACTCACTTTTTTTTCGTGATCTCAAATTATTTTGCGATCGAAGTTTGCGGGAGAGTCAATCTACACTCTGGTCGCGCGCGATATTGGAATATAAATTCTGAGATAGGCGAAGAGCGCGCGCACACATTATGCACACAATGTTGCGACGTTCCTATCTCCGAGATCTTACGTAACAGCCGGATCAATTACTTGTGCCTATAAGTGGGACAACTTCGGCTCGTTACACGGCCTTGTTTGCGCTCTTTATCCTCGAAATTGTTGCTGTTCTCGAATAGCATCGTCTCCTCTCGATTCTACGCGGCGCGGCGTTTCCGACGCTGGTTTCTGAAGAAACGACGAGCTGTACGACCGGATTTATCGAAGAGCTTGCGGCGACGTCCTCGCGATTTTGCGGATCGAAATAAAAAAGCGCCTTTCGAGGACAATCTCTCCTTCGGTTTCGGAATCTCGTCGAATTTTTTGCGCTTGCTTTCTAAGCGTTCCGCCGCGTGTCAATCGCGATATCGTCTTATATCCAAACCGGAAGCGACCGGCGGTCGATGCCGCTAACGATCGCGGACGTTCATCGGATGATGCACTCTCGCAATACACAACCCGGAGTGCTACTCGGACATTACCCCCGCTGTGCGCGCGAAATACCCGCAAATTACCCCAGCGCGATAATAACCGTAAATTTGAATAAACGGGGAATATCCCCCTCGGCGCGTTTCGATATCGCAAGAGAAAAAGTGTTAGCAATATAAAGTTTAGGTAATAAGACAACGAGCGGGTATGAATGATGGTCATGTGTGCGCACATTAAACTTGGAAGAGATACTTCGCGGTTGTACCAACAAAGTCGGTCAATAATAAAAAAGGTTCAAGGTGTCGTCTGAAAATAAGATAATTACGCAATCAATCGTGCAAACACGCGTATATATCTCTTCTCTCTCACAGGTGTCGAGATAATGAGGTAAGTACGGTATAATTATAAACAGGATCTTGTTTCCGTTATTAAATGAATCAGTTAACACCGGAGAGCGCGCAATCTCAGAGAGTGCAAACCTATTTCAACCGCATCCGTCAATTTGACGGGTGTTTGAAAAAACCACGTTTCACTCGTTAATTTGGAATTTCTCTGATATTTCAACAATTAATTAAAGAAATTCTCGCAGCTTTCGGCTACAATTTTCAATATTTCAAAGTCAACATTCGGGTTCATCTCCAGTAATTTCTGTAAAAAACTTGTTCAGAATCTGAAATCCGTCATTTTGACGGATTTGCGCTTGTTCCAATGTCAATAAAACTGGAAGAAGAAAATTACATGAATAATTACGTGTAAAACAAACAAACAAACAAAAATTGATCGACTACTCGCGTATGATTTATCGCGCCGTTGCTTAATTATCATCAAGTTTACACCTGATGCTCGATCCTACACGCGCGCGGGAACTAACTAAGCAGACGGGGAAAAATGCGTTTGGAGGACACCCCGCGGAAACGAATTGTGACCACGCTCGAACTAGGGGAGACACACGTTAATCTTCATTTAATATTATTTCCGGATCGAGTGCGCGCGACTCGAGCAGCGTGTGTGTAAGAACAAATTTATTAAACTCGCGACAGAATTAAAGCACTTCGGAAGTGCCGTTCGGAGGGAAAAAAAAACACAGCCCTCACAGTGGGGGTCTCTCTCTCTCGCTCTCTCGAGGACATTTTTAGGTCAAACAGTTATTGCAGGTTATTGACTTGACATCAGATCGTTACTTTCACGTCACAGTGTTGGTCGCGTCGGTGCTTTCAAATCGAAACCGCCGGTTAATCTATTCTCGGACGCGCTATACCGCGTCGATGTAACAATCTTGCCATTCATCGTTAGGCAGAAGAATGTAAGGGAAGCAACGATATGCATTTTTCAGATGTCCGCGGATCGATACGCGCGCACGCGCGAGCGTCTTTGCGGCGCGTACGAGCAAGTTGTATAAAAAAAAAAAAAAAAAAAAAAGATCAAAGATCATAGAATAAATCTCTTTAATCGCTCATACAGCAAATGCGGTACACGGTTTTTTATTTATGCAACGCGCAAACAGGCGAGAATGAATGAGATTTAAATAGCGCGAGCTTTCAGTTCGCGATACACATGTACATACATATATCTCTTTCTCTCTTTCTTTCTCTCTCTTTTCACCGCAATTATTATATGGTATAATCTTTAACTGCCGCGCGCGGCGCGATGAGCGGCAAAAACTTCTCATTATCCCGCGCCGGGTTGAGAAGCCCCGGCGCACGTATTCAATTTGTAATTTACACGATATACCGGAGCGCGCGCGCGAGTGTGTACACACACGTATAGTGGATTACACCTGCGGCGGTAACTTCGCACCGCGGTTAATAAAGCTTTCAGAATAGAGTGCAGAGAGCGGGAAAGCAGAGCTTTAGCTTAAACCGTAAGCTTTAATTTTGATAACCACACACACACACACACACACAAGGTCTTTGATAATGTTACACGAACGCGCGATCTCTTCGTCGAAGAAAACTGAATCAGTTGATCAGCCGCGGTTTTCCTCTCGAACTAGAGAGAGATAATATATCTGGACTGGCGTAATAATATATCTGGACGAGCTATCTCGTTGCCGCATCCTCATGAGAGATACAAGACCAGAGTTCTCTTCGCACTCGACAACGGCGGTGATTTCGAAACGGAATTTCGTCGCGTCAACAAGACGACGGAAAGCAAATCGTCGCGATAAGACCGAAAGAGGAAAACAACGGTCCGTTAACCTTCGCAAGTTGTTCGCGGTCGATAAACGATTCACGGCTGAATAGACGGTAGGTTATTGTCGAATTCAAATTTCCGAAATAAATGGAAAGTCAAGTAGAAAGTCAAGAAATATTGAAACAAACTTAATTTTAATTAGTAGCCATTAAATGCGATAGATCTGAAATAGTCACCAAGAGGAAACCAGTTCGCCGTTAACCTTCCTAAGCTGTTCCGGCTGTTGCGGCTGATAAATTCCGCGGCTGAACGGACACCGCGACGGTCGTTATACCGTCAAATACACATCATTTTTGAAAAATAACCGGAAAGTCGAGAGAGGAAGAAAAAATAACGAGAGTGAAAAAAACTTAGTTGCTTAGTTTTAAATAAAAGTTCGAATCAAATGTGTCGACAATTTTTTTTCTTATATGTGTTCGTGCTCTCGTTGTATGTTTAAATAAAAATTCTTTTCTTATCAGTTGTTGAGATTGGAACGTGAAATGACCCGAACAGTTTGGGAATTCTAACACGACTCAACGGGACGTTCAAAAGATATTGGAAGCGAACGATCGTGAAATTCAGCCGCTGGAATCCAACGACGTGCGCCGGGGCACGAACGCGCAAGACCCGTAGAGAGACGTAGGAGAGATAGCGTCGTCGTCGCGCTCGGACAGCGGCAGCGCGAGCGAAGTGAAGGTGTTGATGACGTAATGTGCAACGGCGGCAACTCGCGATTCGCGCGGCGAAGTGGAGAGTTACTCGTGACTCGCTGCGCGCACTTCAAGAGAAAGAAAGAGATGGAGAAATCACGGATGGAAAAAGACAAGGAGAGAGAGAGACCGTAAGCGAGAAATACGCACAAGCGCAATACAGCACACGGCGTGCAACAAGCACACGCTGCGCTCTGCGCCGTCGCTTGGCGAGCGACCGTCAAGGACGTTTGCGCTCAGTTTGCTGCGCGCCGAGAGAAAGAAAATTGTTTCTCTGAGCGGGACGAGGAAGGAACGGAGAGATACAGAACGGGCCCGAGAGTGAATGCGCGTGTGTGACAGAGAGGAAGGTGGAGAGGAGAGGGAAGCGGAGCACCAGATCCGTGAAAAGGAGAAGGAAAGGGAGATAGAGAGAAAGAGAGACAGACACACGGACCGTGAAGAGAAAGAGAGTACGAGGAACTTCGAATGTCTGCGCGTATGTGTGTCTGTACGTGTTGCTCTTTCTCGCGAGGGATCGACGAATTCGAACCTCTCGATCCCCGGCCTCGAGCGGCCTTGAACATGTCGTCAGCGACTTTTGCCGGAGAGCGCGACCGGCAAGATCAATTTCCAGGGCGCGTTTTCCCCAAGAGCCGCGTGTGTACGAGAGTCGCAAACGTTTGTCGTCTCTGTCCGCTCGAGAGACGTACAACAATGGACCCGCGTAACGCGCGAGATAACGCACAAAG